GGCACCGGTCTGCCTCCTTGGCTCCCAGACCCGCTGGGGAAACTGAGGCTTGAGTTAGAGCCTACTGTTCTCGCCCCACCCCCACGCAAAAGAAAAAAAAAAGAATGAAAGAGAAAAACAAGTTAGGAAAAAAAAATCTTGCGTACTCCGGGAGCCCTGGGGGTTGCAAGAGTCTTTCTTGAGCCAGTAACACGGGGCCCCATGAAGGATGAACACCCCCAAACACCAATCCCAGGAAAGGCAGACCCCAGCTATGCTCACTAGCCAATGCTGCCCAGCTGTGGGGACCTCACGAGTGACCTCTCAGAGCATCAGGGGTGAAGGACCAGGACAGAGACCAGGGCAACCTGACATGCATGTTGGTGCCACCACCAGTCCACTGGGTGGCCTCCTCAGACCGGGTGGGGGTGGGGAGTCCAAGAGGACTAGACACCTTAAATTAGTACACAGAAACTTAGGTCTGGGGATAGAACCTGGTCACTAGAACATTTTTGCAGAGCTCATCTTCTGACCACCTCCAACCCTCACTGGGGAATTCTAGGCTCCAAACCATGCCCCAACCCTCCTTTTACTTTTGGAGATGAGGTCTGGATCAGTTCCCCAAGCAAAACGTGGGTTTGGAATCCTTATGTCTCAGTCCTATAGTAGCTGCGACAACAGGCCTGTGCCATCAGTCTCGGCTCTGACAACAAGCTCAAGTGTGTCTCTCACTTATCACCAGGGACCCCCCCCAGGGGGCTTGTTTCCTACTCTGCAGAACAAGAGAGCTCCTACCCCATTTCACAGAGAAGAAACCTCAGATCTGCCCCATCTTTAAGCCAAAATCAATAAACATGTGTGTATGCCTGGTGCTACTGTGGACAATTGTGCCCTGGGAAACTGGGCAACGACGATCACGATCATGGGAAAAGACCCCTCCTCGTTCGTTTGAACATTTGGACCTCTGTGGACAGCTAAGTCAGCTACAGGGGACAAGGGCCTTTACGAGATTCTGCAGAGGGAGGATGTTAGCTGAGACCCGGGACTTCGAGGATAAAAGGACAGACTCTAGGAGATGAGCCACGATCTGCCAAGACCGGGAGCTGCCCGTGCAAAAAGCAAGACTTTAGACAAACGATGACAGAGACGAACAAACAGGAGCCGTTGGTGTCATTAAGGCTCCATTGTAGATGGAGCCTTAAAAAGTCAGGGGGAGCCAGGAATTGACAGGAAGACCCAGAGGGAGGGAGCACCCTGAGTGTTCAGTAACTTTCTGAAGTGCCCCCCAACACCCATCTCGACCTAGAATCCCCCAGTGAGGGGTTGGGGGCGTGGTCAGGGTGGAGCCCCACCTAGAATCCCCCAGTGAGGGGCTGGGGGCATGGTCAGGGTGGAGCCCCACCTAGAATCCCCAGTGAGGTGCTGGGGGCGTGGTCAGGGTGGAGCCCCGCCTAGAATCCCCCAGTGAGGGGGGCTGGGGGCGTGGTCAGGGTGGAGCCCCGCCTAGAATCCCCAGTGAGGGGCTGGGGGCGTGGTCAGGGATGAATCCCCCCCTCAATATCTGGACCACCATGCTCTCCATCTCAGGCCTATCCATCCCTGGGCCTTTGCAGATTCTGTACAGGGCACGGTTCCTTCCGCACTTCTGCATTCCCACCACTCAGATTCTCCCCTATGAACGAACATCTCCTGGAGTCCCTGAAGCATCTTCTAGCTCAGTGGTTCTCTCAACTTTCCTGATGCCGCTAACCATTTAATGCAGCTCCTCATGCTGTGGTGACCCCCAATCATAAAACTATTGCATTGCTACTTCATAATTGTGATCTTGAACTTTTATAAATCGTAGTGTGTTTCCTGGTGATCTCAGGCGACCCCACAGGGGTCGAAACCCATAGGTTGAGAACCCAGCACCTGCTGCTCTGGACACAACCTACTCCTCAATCTGGTTCCACCACACTGGTTTCCTGCTTCATTTTTCCTTGCAGGTCATTCTGTCCCTCCCTAGGCTGTCAGGTCATTCTGTCCCTCCCTAGGCTGTCAGGTCATTCTGTCCTCATTCTGTCCCTCCCTGTCAGGTCATTCTGTCCCTCCCTAGGCTGTCAGGACCGAGCCACACCCCTATCCCCAGGGCCTGGCTCAAAACTAGAGCGGACAAGGGAGCAAGATCGGAGAACACACCAGAAATCCTGGGCACGCTCCTGATTCCTGGGGAGTCTGAGAAAACACTATGTCCCCACCTTGTGCCCAGGCGGTCTGGGACCCCAGTATTTCCTCTCCCCGTTTGCTATTGGTAGCCCAGGCTGGCCTCAGACTCCCCTGGGGAGTAAGGGTCGCAGTGCGTGTCACCACGCTTACCCTGCAGTCCTTTCGGCCCCGGCCCGGCCCCGCCCCGCCCCCTCAGGGGATGGATAGGCCCCCAGGGATGGATAGGCCTTCCTTCTAGTGACCCTCAGCCTCGGTACTGTCACCTGGTGCAAACCCAGGACATGGTTTCTGCCAGCAGCACTCGTGCAGGCCACACACCGTGCACTCTTCCAGCTCCAGACTCCTTATCCCAGGGGACCTAATGTGCGGTGTGGCTCCCGGACTTTCTCTGGGGCTCGCACTTCCTGGAATCCCCTCCCCCCCAAAGACACACAGGTCTTATCAAAGATGAGCCCAAGGTCCCCTTCCGCAGCCTCCCCACAGCTGTGAAGGCGGCCAAGGTCAGAGGGAGCCCCCGGGAACCCGAGCGGACTTCCCGGAGGAAGGGGCCTCTGCCCCGCAGCTGCGCGTCCGGAAGTCACAGACTCGACGCCTCCGTGGAGGTGGGGGATGCGATCGGGGTCCCTGGGACTGAACCCCATCACGCCCGGCAGCGGGGGGGCACCGCGGAATCTCCCGCCCTCCCGAGTCAGCGTGGCCCCCGGCTGCCCCTGCCTTGGCGGCTCTCCAAAACCAGAGAGGAGGAAAAGGCTGAGGCTCGGAGCTGCCGGACTGCTCGGTCCACCTTAAATCAGACTGGCCGCCCGCTGCCGGGGACCCGCCAATCTCCGCCACGGGTGGCCGGGAGCGCCAGCCAATCGGCTCCCACAGCACCCACATGGGTCTCTGACGTCACTCAGCGCCCTGGCCAATGAGCGCCATGTCCCCGGCGGCCAATAGCAGGAGGCGCTGGGCCGGGCTGCGCCAATAGCAAAGCTCTGGATGAGCTGGGGCGCGAGGCTGCCCCGCCCGCCGGAGAGAGCCCGCGTGGTGGTCCCGGGCGGCGGGGTCCCCTTTAAAAATAAAAGCCCCGTTAGTCCGCCGGGCGGGATTCCTGCTCCCCGGATTCCTGCTCCCCAGCACTTGAGAAGTTGAGGCAGGAAGAGGCTTGCAAGGTGGACACTGGCGTGGGTCACTGTCTCCAACTTTTTTTTTTTGGTTTTTCGAGACAGGGTTTCCTGTGTAGCTTTGGAGGCTGTCCTGGAACTCGCTCTGTAGACCAGGCTGGCCTCGAACTCACAGAGATCCGCCTGCCTCTGCCTCCCGAGTGCCGGGATTAAAGGCGTGCGCCACCGCCTCCGGGCAAAACATTTTATATTTAAACTATATATATAAAACAATAAGCCCCTCACTTCAGTGGCTACCTTGCCACGCTTGGCAGACAAAGCGCCCTTTGGCCTGTTTTAGGCACAGGTAAACTGAGGCAAAGAGTTCCGAAGGCACCTTGGACACCGAGGAAATGGCTGACATTGTTTTTGTTTTTTTTTTTAATTCCAGCTCGCGCTCCAGTTTATTTGTCTTAACCCATTAAATGTCGGGTGGTGGTGAAATAGGCCTCCAGGGAGTTGGGAGCTGGACTTGCTGGGCGTGCCTCGGTTTACCGGAGCGGAGATTGCAAGGAGAGCCGCGAGCGGGCGTTCTCGGCAGGGAAAACTACATATCCCAGCAGCGCCTGCGCGCCGCGTCGCGCCCGGCTGTCAATCAAAGTAACGTGGGGCAAAACAGCCCGCGCCCCGCCTGCCGCTGCCTCCTGCCAGCTCCCGCTCCCTCCCCGCCGCCGGCTCCCGGCCCGGCGCGGTATAATTACAGCCCATTGATCCGACCCGGGCCGGGAGAGCGGCTCCCTCAGGGAGGCCAAAGCCTTTGGCTCCCGACAGCGCCAACCTCCCCCTCCCTCTCCGCGCCCCCAGCTGAGCCCCTGGGCCACCAGCCAGGCCGCCCCTCCTGCTGGCCCTGGGCTCGAGGGTGACCTCTGAGCCCAGCTCCCGCCACCCCCGGCAGGGGAAAATCACGCACCCGTTTCCCCCTAAGAACATGGGGAGCCCCCCCACAAACTCAGTGCCTGGTTTCGCCGGAGAGGAGAGACGTCCCTGCTGTACCGGGCTGGGCTAATGACAGGATGCAGGAGGGCACAGAGCTGCTTAGAAAGCCCCCAGGACTCCTAGACGTGGGTGTGTTGTACTGGGGTTCTGCAGAGAGCACAGGAGGTGACTCGTCAGAAATCTTCCTAACTAAATGCTGGTCAAATTAAAGTGTGGGGACACATGGGGAGGGCCCAGGCCCGGCCCAGGACCAGGTGGTGGACTTCGGGGAGCCCCTGTGGAGGGATTGGGGTCGGGCTGGCGGGGGCGGGGAGGGAGAGGGAGAAGGGATTGAAGTGTGAAGCAAGCTTGTTCCTAATTTAAACTATTTAAAAATGTGGGGTTCTGGCCTCTGACCTGCTTATGCCCCCCTTGCTTCTGGCTGCTGCGACTGGGGAAGCAGACTGAGGGTGGGCTGCCTTGGGCATGCTGGGAGACACCGGGCTTGGCTGAGGATGGAGAAAGACACATCTTGTTAGGCAGTGACTGAGCCGCTAGATGGACAAAGGGAGCTTGTGAACCCCGAACCCTCTGCGAAGTGGACCCCGCCCCATGCTTCCTCCCGAACCTGGAGTTTAAAAAAAAAAAAAAAAAAAAAAAAAAAAAAAAAAAAAAACACATTTGGTTTTCGAAAGAAGCCTGATAATCTTATGAGCAAAATTTGAAAATGCCTAACAGCAGAGCCTCGTGGAGCACGCCTTTAAACCCAGCACTCGGGAGGCAGAGGCAGGTGGATCTCTGAGTTCGAGACCAGCCTGGTTTACAAGAGCGAGTTCCAGGACAGCTTAAAGCCACAGAAAAACCCTGTCTCAAAAAAACAGTCAAACAACAAACAAAACAGAAAAAGCCTAACCAATGTGACCATTCTACTACACCTGCCACAATAAAGGGCCTTCTACTCCTAACACTCCACAGAAAGACTGTGACTTCATTTCCCCAACATCTGTGGTAACCCACTTAAATGTGAATCCCATCTAAACTTTTCCCCTAAGCTCAAGAAAGTTCCATTGCTCCCCATTGTCTTCAAAAAATTTTCCAAGCTGTTCAGCTCTGTGTGACAGGATGCTGGTAATTATCCATACAGGGACCTCAGGGCCCTTGCACCTGCCATAGGACAGCACTTGGCTAGTGAAGGGCTGGGGGCATGGTCAGGGCAGAACCCTACCTAGAATCCCCCAGTGAGGGGTTGGAGGTGTGGTCAGGGTGGAGCCCCGCCTAGATTCCCCAGCTTGGGGCTTGGGGCGTGGTCAGGGCTGAAGACCAGGCCTAAGGTGGAGAGAAGGCTCAGAGGTTAAGAGCACTGACTGCCCTTCCAGAGGTCCTGAGTTCAATTCCCAGCAACCACATGATGGCTCACAACCAACCTCTGCTGGTATGTATACATGATAGATAAATAATTTTTTTAAAGATTTATTTATTGTGTATACATACAGTGTTCTGTCTTCATGTATGCCTGCAGGCCAGAAGAGGGCACCAGATCCCATTACAGATGGTTGTGGGCCACCATGTGGTTGCTGGGAATTGAACTCAGAACCTCTGGAAGAACAACCAGTGCTCTTAACCCCTGAGCTATCTCTCCAGCCCTGATACCTGGGTTTCTGCTGCACCCTGTGTGGCTGAGTTGTGGCTGCTTCCCAGAACATCACTATTTATTTGGTCACCTGCGGTCCTGGTGGCTGTTTATTCCTGTCACCTCCCGTTACTATGAAATTCACACATGCTTTCTTGCCTTCCTGCCATCACTCCCATTTTGTGGGTTCCCTGAGGGAGGGGTGCCAGAAGCCACATCCTGACATATTGTAGGTAGGTCCCTAATAAATACTGAAGTCAGCTGGGTGGTGGTGGCCTTTAATCAGGACTCAGGAGGCCAAGGAATCTCTGTGACTTTGAGGCCAGCCTGGTCTACAGAGCGAGTTCCAGGACAGCCAGGGCTACACAGAGAAACCCTGGCTCAAAAACCCTAAAATATTATTATTATTATTATTATTAATAATAATAATAATAATAATATTTAAGTCAGCCATAAAAAGAACATGCAGGGTAGGGGTTGGTTTAGTTGGTTTTGAGGGTCTAGGACTTTTGGGGGATCTCCTTTCTGTTGCTGGGGGTGAACCCAGGGCCTGGCCCTTGCTGGGCAGGAAATCACCCCTATTGCACCAACTAGGCCTTGTCCCTCCTTTGTCCTCCTGAGCTGTAGGGCAGTCAGACTTGAGGATCTTACCAGGGACCTGTCTGGGGCCAAACAACAAAGTGAGGTCCTTCTTTGCATGACCCAGGGCTGGGGGCCACCTGCCACCTCCTCCCCTGCTCTAGGACATTAGCACAGCAGAGGCCAGAGTGCCACCCAGCAGCCCCTGCTGCAGTGATGGAGGGAGAGCTGGAAGGAGGACTTGGGTGAGGAGGAGGAGGAGGAGGAGGAGGAGGAGGGAGGAACAGGAGGGGGAGAGAAGGGGTGGGTAGACAGGAGGTGGGAGGAGGGGTGGTGGAGAGGGGAGGGCCAGAGAAAGAACGGCCAGGGAGGGGG